ATCCAAGTCACAGCCTCTTCACTTGTTCACCAGTATGGGGTGGGATACCGTATCGAAGGCCTTCCTGAAGTCTAAGTATACGACATCCACCCCTCCTCCTGTGTCCTCCTATGTAACCTGGTCATAAAAAGAGACTAGATTGGTCAGGCACGATCTGTCTGCCACGAACCCGTGCTGGTTTCCCCTCAGCATAATTTGTCCTGCCGGGCTCTCACATATATGAGCCTTAATAATCTTTTCAAAGACTTTGCCAAGGATGGAGGTGAGACTGACTGGCCTATAGTTGCCTGGGTCCTCCTTCCTCCCCTTCTTGAAAATGGGGACCACACTGGCCCTTTTCCAGTCCTCCGGGACTTGGCCCGTGCGCCACGAGCGTTCAAATATTCCCGCCAATGGCTCTGCAATGATGTTGGCCAGTGCCTTCAGTACCCTCGGATGGAGCTCATCCGGGCCTGCCGACTTAAAGGCATCCAGTTCTTCCAAGTGACTCTGCACCATCTCAGGGTCTACGCATGGAAGTCTGGCGCCTTGCTGCTGCCTCTCTACAACCCCAGCAAGAGACTTGTCGTGCCCCTCGCTTAGGAACACTGAGGCAAAGAACTCGTTGAGGAGTTCAGCCTTGTCCCCCCCTGTCCATCACCAATTGTTTCTGCCCATTTAGCAGGGGTCCTATTCCTCCCATTTAGCAGGGCTGTGTCACATGTCAGCTCCATTTTTATTTTTAGCCCTCCAAACTACAACTCCCATGAGACAATGCCCTCCAGCAAGGAAACATTAGGCAAGATTACTGTTGGCCTATGGAACTGATGTATTGCTATGGTAACAAATTCATCCACAACCTAAGAGCAAATTAGGTTCAAATGCAAGGCACCCATAGTCATAGCTTACAGATACTTAGCAACAACAACAAAAAAATGAGCATGCTATTTAGAAAAACACACTTTCATACACTACTTTAAAAAATATTAAACACGTACCCAGTATAGTTGGGACAGCACTTCATCTCAAGAAGGCCAGTCTGATCCAATGCACATGCATATATGTCAACAACATGACCATTTGTAGCAGCACGGTTAGCAAGACCTTCAAAATGCTAAATACAAAATGAAAATATGCTTATAGCAATGTGCAAACTGAACTCGTCACATCTTTTACATTAAAACCTCAAATCCCAGAATTCTTCTAAAACAGTTAAATTAGATTTTATCTAGATTATACCCTAATATTAGACAGCAATAAACTTTAAAAAAAAACTGGGACTAAAACTTTTAGTTTCTATGCACAACTATATAATTGATCCGATAAAAAACATTACTAAATAAACCTTGCTTCTCTCATATTCCCGAAACTACTGCAGTTACAACATCACAATTATATCTCTTAAACAGCTCAGAAGGTAATTTGTGCTACACTAATTGATGGGGAGTTCTACTTAAAAATCCATGTCACATTTTACCTCACTGTGTATTCAGGACCCAATCCTGTTCCTAATAAAGTCAGTGAAAACACTCCAACTTACTTTAGTGGGAACTGGATCAGGTTCTAACTTAACATACTGACAATCCTTATGAAATTTTGGAAAACAGTAGCTAAAATTGATCAAATGTGTAAATTCCTCTTTGTTTTATACATATACAGTTTATTAAATCTGTTTATACACTAGTTATTATCCATCAGACAAATGTGTCTATATCGACTGGCATTTATTTAGCAAGAGGCCTAGAATTTCATATGTTGTCCAGTCTTACCTTAGTACCCTTCTTCACATATTTGGCATTGTCTTTTTCAATATCATGCCATGATCTTATGGGCAACTTCAGTTCATCTCCTACAACCATGCCAGGTCCTTGAGTAGCTGGCCCTCCAATAAACATCATTATGTGTGCACCAGTATTAGGAAAAGTGCACTGTGGGAAACAAAAGATACCTCAGAAAGCTCTTCTTATGAAAAGGAAAGACATGAGATAATAGTAACAGGAAATAACTATGAATTTGTCAATTAATGTAAACACTTAGAGACTTTATCAGAAGTATTAAGTTTTAATTTAATGTCAAGCCTTATTCTTGTCTCATTAAGATTAATTCCTTTAATGAATAAAATGGTTCCACACACAGTTAGGACCAAAGCCTCAGCTGGTGTAAGTTCCCACAGCCCCATTGTTTGATCTCAGCTGAAGTGAATTTACACAAATTGAGGATCTGACCCACCACATTTCACTTTCCCTCTTAGTTCTTACTAGAAACAATGAAATGGGAAACTGTTTTTATGAAGAATGTATTTGATTCCTTGTTTGATACCTGAAATCAGAGCTTTTTCTTTTTAACAACACTTAAAGTGGTTGGCTTCACAAAAATAATTTTACATGGAAAATAAACTGCACTAACAAAAGAAATATGCATACAAAATATCCTTTTTTCCATGCAAGCATAAAACTAAAGCATAAGGGAAGGAATGTAGAAAGTTTTTTAGGTGACCTCCAAGACTAGTGCCTAATAGAGTAATACTGCATTTACTAAACTCCAATGCAAGTTTTCCCCATGTTAAATGGGAGGAGGAAGGGGCAGTAAGCATCTTTTCTTGGATTCAAGTACAAGGCAGCAAAGAGGTAGGGAGGGGAGGGGAGGGGAGGGGAGGGAGGAGGGTAAATGGCTGCTTTGGCTCTGACTTGGCCCCAATCTGAGGTTGGAGTTGAAGCTACAGCTGCAGCCCATCCCAATATGGCTTCTGCTGCCCAACTGCCCATTGTAATTAGGAAGCTAGTTTAGGATACTAAGCTAGCTTCCTAATTACAGTGGAGCCTTCTGAAACTGAAAATCAAGAGGAAGTTTGCAACATGTTGCCTAAATCTGTGCTTTCTATGAATATCAGTCAGATATATGACTCTGATCTTCAGGGCTATCAACCTGGTATCTTTCACCTGCACTTCATATTAAAACATATTTAGTACTATAATAAGCAACAAAAAGCATGAATATGGTTTTTAGTCTTTTTAATATCTCTAAGGTTAGTCACAAAAATGGATTTTTATTAACAGAAAAAAAATTCTTCAATTTTTTTTTCCAATATGTTGGGACACAGAACCGTCTTGCTCAGCTTCTAGTTATGTTTTTGAAAAGAACCAAATATAGACATACTTAAAAGCATCGCTGTTAAGCTCAACCAAAATGAACCTGTCTCCAAGTTCTATAACTCATCAACTATGAGGACCAACTGAGGAAGAAAGAAAAATAATAAAGAAATCCCCTTGTTTATTACTCCGAATACATATAAACTATAAATATAAATACAAAAGTCAAAACAAGCCTTCCTCACATTTGCAGCTAAAAATTGTCACCTGAACATCTGTCTATAAAGGCTGCAAAAAAAGTTGTTGGTAAAGAAGGTTGGGCCATTGAAATTCAAAGGAAATTAAAACAATGGCTATGCTGCCACAATATCACTGGGTTTCAGTAACCCACATCAGAGAGATCACTTAAAGGAACAGGAACTGGAAGAGTCAAATACTGGAGCAGAGTAAATAAAGGTAAAAAAATGGTGGTAAATAAAAGAGTTAAAACACTGCAAATATCAAAGGACTTGCACTAGGTAAGCAATAAAAAAAACAACGAAATAGAAATTAAGAAAAGGACTAAGAAATAAAATGGGAGAAAATAAACAAAAACAGAAAAGATATTTAAAATAAAATATATTAGTTGAGCAGGCAATAAAGTCAGAAAGTGACTGAGCATAATTTATACAACCAAAACCCAAAGTTTAATAATACTAAACAGGCAAATTGGACAAGAGCCACAAATAAAACTGTTTTTAAAATGCTTGGGCTACATATTATTTCTTCTCTTTTTGCTCAACATTCCTTCCTATAGAATAGTAGAGGACTATATTAGAGGAATATTAGTAAATTATAGATGCTCAAGTCTTATGAAAAATCCAATATACACTAATTACTGAGATTTTTATTCTTATGTGTTTCTTACTCTAAAGGTTTTAGCATTTCAGAACAATTGTAGGTAAAACAGTTACCTCAAGGAGTCCAACAGCTATAGAAAGAGCTACCCCAGAGGACCGCAAAGGTCTTTTCCCCTGTGGAACAGGCCAAGGATCCCGTTGCAATTCACCCAATAGATCAGTGAGATTCATATCAATTTTCTGCACTGGCTGCAAAAATCTAGAAACAAATATGACATGAAGTTAGCTTTTGAATTATTTTCGCTATAAGACCTTTAAAAAACAAATCATATCTGGTGATTCATGGACAATCTGTTGGACTGAAATAGCAAACATCCCAAACTTGGTTCAGAGCACTGTCACCAGCTCACAAGAATGACAGGGCCTGCAAGTACCACATAAACAACATACCCAGCTTGAGGAGAGAAAGTATTTAGCATAACACATTGCAGCAACACAGCCTGTTGACTTAGCAATACTGCCAGGTTCCAGAAAGAACTACATCCAGCCAAAAGAACAGCTCTGGTCATCAAGGAAATTTGGGCAAAAAACTAAAAAGAAAAGGATACACTTGGAGAGTGAGCAAAACAAAAATTACATTTCCAGAACTGTCCAAGTGTCAGATCAAATTGGTTCCAGAAGTGCCTACCCTTTGGGAACTGGAACACTTAAAACTTGCCAGCTAGGTGATTCAATTTGACCAGGTTTAGGCACCTATATACAGTCAATGGGGAGATGCAGGCACCCCAAAACAGGACTTCAGCACTTAAGTACCCCAAACAGAGAATGGAAAAAGGTAAGTACCTCCAAAGGGCAATTAAGAAATCCCAGAGATACCTAGAAGTAGCCAATAGGAAACATGAACATACATCTCCCAAGAGCTTAGACACAAAATCACAGGGCACTTTGGCTGCTTAAAGACGTTAAGAGAAAAAAAAAAAAAAAAAAAAAAAAAAAGGTTCTTTACTTTAAACTCTGCAGGTCCCCACACCAAGTCCAGCATATGCCCAGAAGGGGCATTGCATTAGTTGGACCCAGCCTGCCCAATATAGATCAGACACTTCAGCGTGACTTTTTGGTGCTTTTATCCAATACCTGATTGAATCAGCTTTAGATAAAAGTGCCAAAAAGCCCTGCCAAAGCGCCCGATCTATACAGAAGCTGCAGAGCTGAGTTAAACTAACACATATCCTCTTCTGGTAAAGCACGTTTGTTTGGGGGGGTTTTCTCCATGTCCATCAGCACCCATTAGGTGCTTCTACTCTCTTAAGATTCAGAATGCAAAGCACCGCTTCTGAGAAAAGCCTGCCACCTGACAGGGGTGGTGATGCTGCCTGGCACCTTTTGCCCTATAACCTAGTGGTTAGCACACGCAGCTAGGAAGTGAAAGACTTGGGGTCTAGACCCTCTTCATCCTGAAGCAGGGTGGATACAAATCAATGATTTTTTTAAATCAAAAACACTGGATTTTTTTATTTAAAATCAGATTTTTATTTAACCATATTTTTTAATTTGTTTGTTAAGATGCTTTTTTTTAAAAATAAACCTATATAAAGATAATATTAATTTAAGATATGTTAAAGCTCAAAGATATCATCATGGAATAGGATTATAACTTCTAATTATATACTATTTGAAACAATATATTCACAACCTTTTTAGAAAAAGTTTATAAATAGGTCACAACAGGCCATGGACTATTTTAGGGGCCCAATCTTATGAATTTCCCAGAGGCTCCTCTATAAAGTAGTAAAGATTAAAGAAAACCACTCTACTCAGTACTCCATCTCAAAGATCCCATTAAGCATTTCTGTGATGCTTAGTTTCAGTTCTCAAACTGTGACTTGTGTCTCCAGAGAGAACATCCTTGTTAACAGCAGTACATGAATATGAGAGATAACAGACTTGATTACCTACCCATCAGCGTTCTTGTCTCTCTGCAAGTTTGTGTACAGAGTCAAGCCCTTACCTTTCTCTAAAAGTGCAAAGTTTCAAGAAGTTAAACAAATAGAGGATATCAAACAACAAGAATGCACTTTTTAGAGAAAACAATTATTAAATCAAGGCTTCCTGACCACTTATTTAAATCGATGTGATTTGATTTAAATTGAATCCACCCTGTCCTGAAGGAGTTCCAAACTTACCTAGCACTTCCCAGGAGAGTGCCCTAACCATCAGTGTACAAAACAGGCCATATGGAGACACTGTCCTCCATTTCTATTGCAAGTAGGCTACTGGGCTGCCAAGATTCCAAGAGTCATAAAGAGAAAAGAGCAAGCAAAAAGGAATCTGTAAGCCTATCAATTTATATCACTTGCCTGGATGGTGGGGAATCCTTGCTTCTGGTCCCTGCTCCTGGACTCATTATGCATTTTCCAGACTAAAAATGAGACATAACCATGAGAGCAGGGACCGGAACCTAAGTTCCCCACCCTCACCCAGAGAGTGACAGAATCACTAGACTTCAAAGGCACATTCCCCTCTTGCTTACTCACCTTGTGGCCTGAGCACTCATGCCTTGTTCTTTATGCAGCTTTGATGCAGCTTTGCAAGCTTATTCATAAACTTAACTGCTCAACTCTAATGTACCCATTCAGTCTCTCATAGAAAATTAAGCCACTGGGTATATTTTAAAAGCTGCCTGAAAACCACAAAACCCTCTCACAATACTAATATAAATGATGTCTTAGGGTCTATTTGGTGGCCCATTTGTCTGCTGGGATACAGTACAATGAACTTTGGAACCCTATGTCCAGTTAATTTCACAATTTAAGGGAATGTTCTCAGAAGTATCCGTCAGATCTCCACTGAATTTAGTGAAAAACAGAAAAATTAAGAAATCATTAGCATTTAGCAAGGAAAGCAAGAAAACAATTTTAAGAGGTTGTGGGTCAAATACTCTGCCAGAAGGAGAAGGCAGAGGGAGTGTGAAGCAGGAAAGAGAGCCCCAGTTATACTTTGTCTTTTCCTGTCCAAGAATTTGGAGCACAGGAGATGCTTGAGAAAGAACAAGATGCATACAGAGTACCTAGCACAGGAGGCAAAGGAGGAATATGGCAGTCATTAATACCTTCCAGCATAAGACCATAAACCTATTTCCATATATTTCCATATATATATAAATAAATAATTTTCTTTCAGAAGATTTCTACATAATTCTTCTAAATTAATGTTATTCATATCCAAGTCTTCTTATAGTTTTCTTCTCCTTGCCCAATTTATTTTCAGAAAAAAGAGCATCTGTTATCAATAAGCTCCTAACAAACACTTCTCTAGGGCCCTTAACTTACAGAGCTTTGACTGTTCTCTTCTAATGCAGAATTCACTAGCATCACACTTAGCTTTCACAGCTACCTCAGTTTGAGGCTGCTGAGCTAAAACTCCCCATACTTTCCAGGTTACTCTTAAAGCCAAAAACCTATTTCTACTAAAATGTATAATGTATGGAAATCAGCCTACCTGAGCAAGAATGCATATGAATCAATTACACATTACAGCAGAAAAAAAATGGTAAGCTGAAGCACTATAGCAAAGAGAGGTTTTTTGTTTTTTTTAAATAACCTACCTGTTCGAAGGTGGCGGCTGTTGTACCTGAGGACCCCGACCTACTTGAGAAACAGCTACTTTAGTAAGCCCCAACATTTCCTGGAAAAAAAAGTTAAAAAAAAGCATGAATTTGCAAAAATATATAACAACTGTCTCCACAGTATCTTGAAAGTCAACTTCACAAACTATTTAGGGGCTTTTTTGCTTTTAATTATTTCTTGCCTATTACCTGAAGTTGTTTTGCAGACAGGTCTTTTGTTCCTCTAAAGACGTAACTTTTTGAAATCCCTTCACAGCCAAGTTCATGAACCTGTACCATTCTTCCAAAGGTAATAAGACCTACCAATGCAGTTGGTGGTAGGAGACTTAATGACATTTGCATGGATTCCTTCAAGGCTTGCAAGTCTTCATCTTCCATGCAAGTGTCCACAACATAAAGGAATATCAAAGGCATCTGAGGACCACGCTTTAAGAAAAAAGAAAATACTTGCATGAAAACTAAATCTTCCAGCACTTACTACATTAAAGAAGAACACTGCAAAACTAAAAATTGTAAAAGTTTCATTAAATACAAGATTTGCCACACCAGCTCATACCATGAAATCTGGCAAGCCCCTTCAAGTAATGGCCAGGATCTAATGCTGCATGATGAAAGAATTAATTAAAGTAATGGCCAGGATCTAATGCTGCATGATGCAGGAATTAATTCCCAGCCATAATGGAATCTGCACAGAAATGTAATGCTGAACATAGCAGAAAAAACATGTAGAGACCTGCACAAATAATGTGGAAGCATGAGATGATTTTACCAACCTTTAATATGTTATCTTACTCTACTCACAATGATGTTACTATCAATTAATTACCCAAAACTTCAAAAAAGGGAAAAACTACCAGAATATTAGACCTAATGATTTTTGTGGCATTTTATTCTATAATTTGACTCTATAAAGCAGAACTTCCTTTTGGTCTTTTCAAATTAACTCCACTTTAATATTAGCAATCATTCTAAGGCAAAAGGAAGAGCTAACCAGTTCTGATTTTACCTTTTTCAAGATGGATACCTTGCTAAAGTTCCTGTCTCTCCCCCTATTTTCCAATCTAAATAATTTTATTTTTGAAGTTTCCTGTCACAGGTCTTTTCTCCTATTAAACCCTTCCTTCTAAGTCACTACCATTACTTATGATAAAATGTAGACAGAAAATTATGAAGAAAGAACATCCAAATTGTATTAATTATGCTGCATCACTCTCCATCTGCTCTTTAAATCAGTCGGTTCCAATACCAACACATGATTTTTCAAATATAACCTTCACTTCAAAGACTGACCCAATACTAAAATTTGTACTAAATTCTGTTGATAAGTAGTCTGAATAATATCTGCAGTATGGGCAGCACAAAATCAGTTGAACTGCTGTGAAGAAACACAACACAATAAAATTTAGGTCTCTAAACAACAGAGAACTTGCTTCCACTCTAAAGGCCTTAACATGTAAATACTGTAGTCCTAAAATTGGATTATAGTTACTTAAATCAAATCTAGTCCTCTTCATTTTGAAAAGACAAGATTGGTTGAAGGTTTACAGCTAAACAATGTAAATTATTCACTGAATTTTAATTGCTGCTACATCAGAACAAGAATAAAATTAAACCATGTCCCACATAGCTAGCATCTATCTAGTGTCAAAGAATTTATCAAATAAATTATTTGGTGGTTTTACCTGGACTACATATTCAATGCTAGAAAACTGAGGTAAAAGTTCTGCAGGCTGATTCATTTCAGATATACCAGCATAAGTAGGAGGAAACTGCAAAAGAAAAAACAACATATAAAGTACCAGTTTCAAAATTACAAAAAAATCTTTGAAAAATCAAGACCTATATTTGTAACAAATGTCAGTTATCACTATCATAAAAAAATCCCTTGATTCTGACCTCTCAGATTGAAGAGACGTCTACAAAATTAATATCCTTCTAATATCCAAGTCCAATTCAAATGTATAATCTGATAAACGGTTTTTCACTTTCCTCGTTTAAAAGATCATCCTGTATTCTAAATACTCCATTTTCTTACCTGATTTCTCTGATAACAAAAGTTGCAAGCCCAAAGTTTTGCCCGATAATCCACTTGGCTATAAAAATAAGAATTAAAAAAAGTTAATGCATTATGAATAGTTTTAGTTTACTTAGAAGCTTTTATATTAGATGTGTGTCATGTAGCCGACTAAACATGCACTTTTCATGTTTACAATGCAATTTCCCTTATTGTCATAGATGTGTTTGCTTCAAAAAGGTCCCACCCCAACCAGAAAATATTTTTCTAAATCACCCTGTTGCAGATCAGAAAGGAAGGAGGGTATTATAATTAAGTAACAGGACTAGGAACATATGAAAACAGATTCAATGTCCTGCTTGTCTAGAGACTTTCTGTAAATCTTGTGCTAAACCTGACTTCAGTCATACACACGTACTGTGCCAGGTTCCCAGCATAACACTGCCACTTTACCAATAACATTCACTTTACAGCTATCTAGGTCCTCCCTTTGAAGAACAACAGAATCAAAACACTGAGCCCAATGGTTTTGTGATGTGGACTAACTTAAGAATGTAAGACTGAAGCAATGACTCCTTGGTCACTGCAGCAACCATGTTCACCAACTGATCAAGATCAGGCTTGAAAGCGGCTATGGGGCTGTGCCCTCACTATTCCTGTTGGCCGGCTATTCCGAATTTCAGTGCTCTTGATAGGGGAACTAGGGTGGTGCGGGCATTAAGGTGCACAGTTGATAGCCCAGAAATCACAAGTTCAAAGCCATAGCAGAAGTGCTTGCAGCATGGCCTGTCAGAGTCCAACTAATCTATAATTGCTGTTAAATACCTTCTCACAGGGACACAAAAAGAGAAGGAAGTTCTCTTGATGATTAAAACTTTCTTTTAATTCCTAAGATGTATTCATGATCAGCTCATACTCATTTTTTCAAATATTTTAAATAAAAGATATATCTACAGAAAGTATTACATAAGCTTATGCAGTAAGATTACCATAAGGGATTCAGAACTGCACGACATGTAGTCCTACTGCACAGAACTGGTTCATATTGAATGGGAGGCAAGTCAGGTCGTTCCTTCAGAGGTGTAAAGAGAGCAGCCACTGGGACTACCATTCTTGTAGCTTCAAGGCGACTTGAAGGCCAAACGTTCCAGCTGAATCTAACTCCATCTCTGTCTTCATTCTGCTGGATGAATTCTAGGAAGGTTGTCATTGTTAACCCCTTTCTTTATTTCTGAAATTAAAGATATTTAATTAATTGGATACACAGAGTTATTAAAAGAACAAATCAAAATTAGAAAGAAAAATCCAAACTGCAACTGATATTGTATTATACTTTTCGTTAAAAATGCTCTTGCAGAAACATGAATGTTTCTGCTGTTTCAAATGTAAAATATATAATTCCAAGAAGAAGAAAAAAGAGAAAACACTTGCAGGGTGTAGCAACTTATTTGAAAGTGCTAAATAATTGCCTGGTTTGCAAATATATGAACAGCATTGAAACATGCCACCTTCAAATTAGCTTTAGTTAGAGGAACATATATGAGAGAGTTCCAGAGTGGTGTCAGGAGCTTAGCAGATAAGCAGTCAGGACATGGAAAAAGTAAGCATTTTAAAAGATATTTTGAAAGAGACTTGTTTAAAAAAATGGTGTCATGTCTACTTTATAGACTGCTCTAGGCATCACCACTGAAGGAATTTAATTATTAATTCTGCTTCTTTTGCAGTGATTTAATCTGCCACTTTCCATTAACTAATTCACCAAGGAATTTCACTGTTTTTACATTTTCAGTTTTGTGATGATTAGAATGTGCTAAGAGAATAAGCAGTATTTAAAGACACAACATACCAATAATCTTTAAAAAAAAATACTATACTTTCTCAAATATAACCTGCACCTCTTCCCCAGATGATTTTGGGGGGAAACTGGGGCATGCATTACATGGATAAAAAAGGGATCCTCACAGGGCCAGAAATTAGACAAAGGGAGAGAGAAGGAACAGTGGTATCAGTAACTGGACCAGGCCAGTGCACAGGGTTGGTCCACAGCCAGATCGAGCACACAGCCTCAGATCTGATGTGTAGGGCATGTGCGAAGTGGGCCCTATTCAATTCGGATTCAGAGTCAGATTGGGCCTGAATCAGGGACAGTGCTTCGATTCGTTGATTCAGATCACTGTCCCCAATTCAATTCGGCCAAATCCAAACCTGAAGATTTGATGCCAATTCGGAGAATCGGTGACTCGGACATAGACACAGCTTTAAAAGTTTTTTCTGCATGGCTTGAGGTAGCAGGCGCGGCTCGTGATCACTGCGATGCTTGGGTGCATGAAGCATCCCACAGGAGTGCGGGGGTGGCCCTTCACGTGCTAGGCGGCGAACCAGGAAGTAGACTGGACTTCTGGGTCTGCCGGGGAGCACGCTAGGGGCCTCTCCAGCTCTGCGATCGGCCGCAGGGGGACCCTGCCCCCCCCCGACCCATGAGGCACTAGTCACTGAGCCAGAGGGTGCGGGGAGGCCCCCCAGCACGCTCCCCGGCAGAGGACCGGAAGTGCTTTTGGTCCACTTCTGGGCCTGCTGCCAAGCATGCTGGGGACCACCTGTGCTTCTGCGGGACGCTCCATATGCCCCAGCATTACAGCAATCATGAGGCCCTGCTACCTAGAGGTATGTAGAAAAAACATTTAAAACTGTCTCTATGTCCGAATTTCCGAATCTTTCCGAATCTCTCTGAATCGATTTGGAGGATTCCGATTCAATTCAGAGAGACTCAAGAGTCCTATGTTTTGATTCAGATTCGGCGATTCGGCCACCAAATCGGGCCGAATCTCTGCCGAATTGAATCAGGGACCGAAGCTTTGCACAGCCCTACTGATGTGCTGGTTCCAGCCCCACACACTGGCTCCAGAGCCACGTGCTGGGTAGCACCTGGCTCACCAAGTCCAGGACTGCATGCTGACTTTGGACCCAGCATCTTCTGGGAAGATCTCTTTACCCAGTTCTTAAAGAGATCTTCCCAGAACCACCCATCATAGCCTTCAAACAAGCACTGAACATCACTAACCTCATGATCACCAGAAGCAAACTTCCTACAGCCCAAAAGACATCGAATGGATCCAGACCATAGCATGACAAGAAATATAAAAACTGCCAATGTATCTCGCCACCCCCACAATTCCTATACCCCATAACAGAACCATCTGCATTCCTGGATCTTACAGCTGCACCTCCAGAAATGTAATACATCTCATCCAATGCACCAAATGCCCTGATGGAAAATACGTAGAAGAGACCAAACAACAACTGTGCACCAAAATGAATCCATACCGGAAATCTATCAAAGACAAGAATACCCAATTACCTGTGGGGGCACATTTCTCACAAGAAAACTACTCTCTCTCCAGTCTCTCAGTTCTAATCCTCAAAGAGAATTTATAAAACACCTTTCACAGACAAGCCTATGAACTTCACTTCTTCAACCTACTGGATACAAAAGACCATGGACTAAATATAGATATTGGATTTATGACACATTATAACCTGCCTAACATCCAATTCCCCAGGTACCTCTCCACCATTTACCAGCTACATTCATTCCCTCTTCCCTCCCCCCCCAGCCTGTCCCTCACCCACTGACTCCTCAATTTACATTTTCACTGACTGGCTTTCTTGCATGCATACCAGCCTCTGGCTTCTTCACTATTCATTCCATCCAGGAAGACCACTCACCAACTGCAGTTGCTTCCTCCACCTGCTGAAGGGTATTTATACCCGACAGCTTGCAAAGAAGAATCTTTCCAACTATGAGTTGGTCTAATAAAAGATATTGGATTTACCCATAGAACCTTGTCTGCTTATGTCCTTAGACCAACATGGCTACAACCTATACCCCTGAAGAATTCTCTAAAATTCTTACTGGAAAAAAACAGTCTGAGCACTGAAGCAGTCATGTTGCAGCCCGACAGCTGGAGAGCTTCACAAGCAAGCTCTCCAGCAAGGAGGCAATAGAGGGAAGCTCCCTGGGACACCCCCGTCATGATGGGAACCCGTTTATTGACAGCCTGCTCTCTCCCCAGCCTGGGAAGGGGGCAGGCCGTCAATTGGGAGTTAGCAGCTGCTGAATAACAGCACCTGCCACAGATACCCAGGGGAGGGTTCCAGTCCCTAGGGAATGCCTCCCCATCCCATCCCATCATCCCTCTGACTAGCAGGGCAGACATTCTCCCATAGTGGGAACCCTCCTGGAGTCCCCACTCCTTGTACTCCTCTGGGCCAACCTACAGGAGTACAGGGAGGTAAATGCGAGGAAGTGGGGGCATTCTGCCATCACAGCAAGCCTCCATAAGTACTGCCACCACGACACGGCAGCCTGCCTCACCCCATAGGTCAATGTGGAGCACTGTAAGTGAGGGAGGGGCACTCTGCTGTCACAGCAAGGCTCAGCTCAGTGACACACAGGACGGCAGCCAGTCTCACCCTGTATTACTCCCAGCTGACCCACAGTGGTGGGGGCAAGGCAGGGGCATTCTGCTGCAGCACAAACCCCTTCCAGGAGGGTTCCCACTGTAGGAGAATGCCCCTCCTGCTGCTAGTCCTTTGAAATAAGACCACATTAAATTATTTGCCCTTTTATTACTTGGCTACATACCGTGCAGAGGGCAAAGTGCACACAGAGTTGTAAGATGACTAATAGTACTATTAAGCATGCAGGCGGACAGATACTCATGGTGGGTGATAAGTTAAATACTATTCCATCTCTTAAGAGTCCTGTCTAGAAAGCATGTTTGTTTCCATCTCCCTCCTCCCCATTCTTTCCATCCTTTCCTTCCCTTCCAAGAGCCAACAACATTTGCGTGTTACAATTTAATACCAAAATAGGATACAGACTATCAGACAATGCATTTTGCAGTGGTGAGTTACTGTGGTTATCCACATGCCTTTTTCACTGAAACAAGGGTCATATGCTTACTCATGTAAATATCCCTAGTTGTTTAAGTAGTCACTGAAAGTATAAGACATTTAACACTTTCTAGGATTCTATCCTTGGTATATGCCAAATACAACTGATGTATTATATTACAGAAACCTACCCCATAATAATACTGTTTTTAAATGCATGCCTTTGAATAATCATTCTAGAAACAGCTGTTAGTCTGACTGATTGATGTAGGCAGCCAGGCATTCAATGATATGGTTTCTTCAGAAACAGATATTAAGAGCCCCTCCTCCCCCATTTATTACAGCATTTGTGAACATAGAAACTACATATTTACATACTCCCAAACCTCTCTTAGAAACCCGTTAATCTACTTTGAAATAAATATCCAATAAACATGAGACTACCAAAACCTACAGAGAGCTACGTCTTGTTTTGGTAGGAATCCCAGTAGGACAGGAGACATACAATAACATTTAAATAACATAAAAACAGCCTAATGTAGTGCACTCTCATTCAAAAATAAAGTATATCTACTATACTAGACATTAATGCAAACAACCTTTAATCAATCTACTGAGCCACTGTTAACTTGATTTTTGATTCAGTGATCCTTTTTTATCTGTCTCTAAGTAAATTATCAGATACTATTATATCAAGGCAGTACTTGACAGGTACCAGGAATAACTCTCAAGTTATCAAAATGACAGCATGTAACTGAGCATTAATAAATGGATGGTAACACTTTCATTGACTTCCTGTCCTAGTCCTGCTCCCCCAATTCCCTCCATTAAGAGGTGATTTTAAGATCAGCGTATGGTATCCATGCCAGCAGTTCACAAATGTTATACACTACCAGACACTGTCAACCGTCAACATTTCTCCTGGACCCACCACGTACTTTATAGTCAAACATGTCAGTGGAAAAGAATGGTAGGGCTAAGTAAAATCTGAAGACCGCGCTGTGGAAACCACTGTCACAGGCCATCTAAGACAGTGGTTCTCAACCTTTTTTGCACCAGGACCCATTTGTAAACTGCGATGAGCAGTCCTGACTCAGTGCCCCTCACTCCTACCCCCACCCTCAGCCCCAGTGTGTAGGGCAAGGGGGCCCCAAGCTGGAGCTTTGCCAGCCTGCAAGGGAAAACTCACCGTTTCCCACATTTTTCTCCATCAAAGGAGAATCCATTTTCAAAGTTTATTTGCAACCCTTTCATGTGTTTTGGTGACCCACTTCTGGTGAGAAATCTAATCTAAGGGAAATCTAAACTAAGGGAAAGACATGGTTAGGACTTGGCACAGATTTAACCATACGGATGCCAGACCTGATATAGTTAATGCAGTACAAATCCCCCAGTGTTGCCACAGAGATAAGTGTAAAGGTGCCACATCCACTGTGTGACACAGAGATGCAAGCGACTGGGGCCAGGACAGCTGCCCCCACACTGGGACCCGCGCTGCTCTTTATTCCAGCCGAGACACCGGGCTGCAAAGACCCATGTGGCAACCAGCCCTACCTGCGGCACCCTGGGTTTGTGGGGACTGGGGACAGAAACCTGCTGCCTACCTCTCAGGTTCCCCTGGCTGGCTGCAGAAGGGCAATTTTGCTGTGTGAGCTGCGGCTCCCCCTACCCAGAGCTCCTGGGGGGAGGGGGGGTCATGCTGTGGCAGAGGCAGCTCCCACCGCCCTCAACAGCCCGCGGCGTTCCCCGGCCGCTTCCCTCTGGTGCCCGGGGCGCGGTGAGACGCGGCTGAGGCGGCCGCTGCTCTGGAGTGGCCAGGATCCTTCCCCCACCCGC